CCGGCAGTCAGTGCCTCCCAGGGCCCCGCGCCGTCAGTTTCGTTGGTGTTGTGTCGTGTAACGTGTCCTCTCTTTCTCTCTTTTTTCTCTCTTTCTTCTTCTCTCTCTCTTTCTCTCTCTCTCTCTTTACTCCTCAACCCTCTCCTTTCTGTCCTCTTCCACCCCCTTTTCTCCTGGTACATACATATATGTATATATATATGCATACATCTATATGTGTGTATATATATTGTATATTTTTTTTGGTTTCGCCGCCACGATCAACGCTGCTCCCGTACCAACAGTGATAAGGGAATAATCGTACGCACACAATCGCGCGCGCGCGCGGCTCGTCGGCGATCCTTTTTGGTGACGGATGGTGCGTGTCCTGGGGTCCGGGACTAGGGTCGCGGATCCTGATCGGACTGAGCGAGAACTGGTCTCGGAAAAATCGGAGCTGATAGGGTATATTGTATTCCGTGGAGATCGAGATCGATAAGGAGCTAAGTTGGACTGAGGAATAGAAGATCGCTGGGATTAGAGGTCTGCGCAGAGACCTGGCAGGAATGAAGATCGATTAGCTTGGTGGACTGCTCGTTTGGGTACTTTTGAGGAATAACAGACGGTTTGTCTGTTTGTTTACTTGTTTCTATAGTCGAAGACATTAGTGTTGTGCGAGGATACCCTAACTGTCAGTCGCTGGATTAACGGAAGTTGAAGTGACAGTTGCTGCGCGAGGAGTCGGATTTACGATCGCTGGCAAGGATCTTGGTAGGAAGTTGATACGATTGCGCGGAGTATAAAACTCGGCAGTTTTAACTGTTTCTGGGAGCAAAGTGCGCGAAAGTTGAGTGAGGAAAACTGCCCGCGGAGGACGACGGCCGCCCGGAAGACCGCAAAATGGCGTGGGTTCCGGTGAACTATCGTTTTATGTGCGAAACCCGCTGACGCTGTACGTACATATTTCAGTGCGAACGCATGCGTGCAATCCTGGCAACCTGCGATGAACGTGAATAGAACGAAATTCGTGCGGCGAGCGATGTTCACGAGCCTCGAACGGCGTGAAATCACAGGATCCACGGAGCCGTGAACCGCAGCCGACTCACAGGAGCTTCTGGGTGCGGGGCTTGAGCTCGGGATACACGAGTCTTAGGGTATCTTCCGTCAAACCTTCGAAAACAGGGACTGTAATTGCTTCCACAATTCGAGAAGCAATTATCGGTGAGCTAAAATTCGCAAAATTGATAAACTCCTTTGCCCAATTGCCTGTAGGAGAGTGAGACTGGTGAACGATTGTGTCTCGAAAAGAAACTCCGATGAATCTGTTTGCAACTTCGAACTCTACTCATTGTTCACTAAATTTTATATGAAACTTAACGAGAAAGTATCAGAAGCTGCATAAATTGTGGTTGTTGCTCGATCCTGTTCGATCTTGTCCCCGTGAAATTTGCGTAGAAGAAGAGGGACTCGAGGTGTGTAACTCCGACCTTCGAGATCGGGGTCTTGTCAAGTTACCGAGAGAGAAGTAAGTACGACCGGCGGTCGTACTTGGCGCGAAGGCCTCAAGATTGCTCGAAAATCGTCGAAGGAGGTGCGAAGGGCTGGAAGAGCGATGGAAATCGGGGGTGCGGCGATGCAGAGGATGGGCACTGCCGGGGGGCCCGGGCCCCTCAGCCTTCAGGGCCCTCCAAGGTCAGTGAAAATCTCACCCGTTAACATACAGGACGAGCCCGGTGACCTCACTTCCCAAAGTACGTATAATGTCCGTTCATTCTTCCTAGTGTAACTGTTTTTTTCACTCGCTTTGATTCTCGAACGACGGATGGTCTGAGACGTGGCGGGCGAACGCTGGGTCACTTTAACCCTCGGTAAAATTTCCGTTGCCAGGAAGGAATTAGGCAGGAAATTTTCTAATTACTCTTTTGTTAACCGGTTGCTTTGGGATTTCAACGGAGTTGTATTAGTTTGAGTAATTTGTTACAGAAAATATAATGGTCAAAGATAGATTGTAATTATAATTAAACAGACTAAATATAGGCTATAATTTCATAGCGATTTTTGTATCAATATTGAAACTATGAACTTTAACTTCTCTAATAATTTTAAGTAATTACTGATGTGCAATACAATTGTACATCAATGTTCAAAATGTTCATTATGGGTCTATCTTTACCTTAAGGGTTAAATATTCATAACAGAAGGATAATTATTTCAATTTCATGATTATTTTGCTGGTTTGATTAAATAAACTGACGGCGTAAAATTACTGCCGGATGCGCGAAATCGACGTTACTTTTCCGCGAACGGAATACACAGACTTTCAGATGAATATATTACGTTTACATGTAATTACATATGTATATAATTGCATAAATAGATAAAGTTTAATTATGTAAATATGCACATATTTCAGCTACAGCTGAGTTGAAATAATGTTGCATTCGTTGTACGATGATTAAAAACCTTTGAGTATCTTTTATTATAAAACGGAGACGGAGAAAAGTATGAAATTATAACAGCATATCATATTTTCATACATCTGGAATTTTTCACATTTATATTTTTTTAGATAATACATTTTTATACGCTTGGTACATGGCTAACCATGATTCAACCCCATTTGTGAATTATTCGTGAAAGTTATAAACTCGTGCCGATTTTCATACCAATGGTCATGAATATAAATTTTTCTAATATTTATGAATAAACGAGAAAACTAGTAATTTCAAATAATTACCATTAGATTAGGGTTTCTCGTACAAATTTAAGTTTTTCAGAATTTATTTGCAAACGTTGGGATTTAATAGAAACGTGCTGTATTGTGTATAAAATCGTTAGTCTGATAATTATGAAGAAATTATGGAGCTATTAATAAATTCTCTACCAAAATTGTGATCTGATACAGTTTGGTTAATTTCTGCATTAGTAATAGGTAAAAATTAGAGAAACGTCGGTTCCAATTTATTATTTCATCATCTGATCGAATAGAATGGGTCGCAACAGCCGTCGGTTACAATTTTTGCAATCACAATCAACTGATGCATCCAAATGCAAAACCAATTAGTACTTTTTCAATAATTACCTGTCTGATGTGCACAAATTTTTAAACTTCAAATCCTGTAAAAAAATTGCCTACCTGTATTGTGAATATTTATACATTCATACCTGCTACAGAATGCAGTAAAATAAAAATTGTAGGAAAATTTTATAATGTACACATGCCTGTTATTATAAACGTAATGAAATTACTAATACAGAAAATAAATAGGTATTAACCTAATTTCCCTTTTCGTAAGTTGCACTTCAAAATTAACCGAAATTAATGTCTTCAAAGAAGTATAAAATCACAGATTATCATCTAAGTAACGTTTTCACCCTGATGAATCAAAAACTGATAACGAAACTTTTCTCCTACCTCTATTTGGATCTGTATTCAATATAAACCTGCAAAGTTTTTCAAAAAAACCGAAATTTCGTGTGACAACAATCCAAGAATTCGAATTGCAATTCAATGTTGTGCAATAAGTGAAAACTTTTAAAACTATGAAGTCACTGAACATCAGAAATTAGAGGAGAACGCAAATGTTCATTACACCGAGTGACAAAGTCGAAGACTCGAATCTCTGATTCACTGGCTCGTGTGCCAATTTCCTTTGCAGTTATCAACCGTTATCAATGATTAACGAGAAAAAGAATGTGGAAAGCGTTCTCGAAAAAAGAGGCAGACAATAACGAATGCACTAAAAAACGATCATTCATAGTGATCGATATTTACACGTTTTATTGGAATGCATTGTATTAGTTAATTTCTTCAGCGATGTGTATCGCGACGTTGGATGTCCGTGAATCCACCAATTAGGACATTTACCGAAAATTTTAAGGGGAGCGTAAGCTGAATATCTTTCGAATCAAATTTTGTTATTTTTACGTCGATGTATAGGCTATTATAAAATATGAACACCGTTCTAAATTTCTTCCGTTACCTTTTCCCGCAATTTTGCACCATAAGCAATTGAATAGAAAATGATCTATTAACTTCCAAGTAAAACTTTACATTTTCGTGAAATACGGACACTGTATGCTAACGTTGATGAGAAATCACAATATTATATTCCATTGAGATTGAAGTGTCTAATAGAAAATTTAATAATATTCCATCGAGACAAATATATCTTCCAATTTCACGGTTCAAGTTGACGTCAGAAAGTTCTTAGGAATATATATTTTCTATTATTATCTTAATTTCTGAAGTGTCCAGGACAGAAGTAAATTATAATCCGATCCAGTATCTTCATTGTAAAATGAAAATCGCACTCCGTATACCCGTACAAAATGAATTATCAATTTAATTATTATTCTTTATTTGAGTATTTCCTAATATTACCTCAATATAACCAATAACATAAAATAAAAAATGATAAATATTCACCAAATCATTTTTCAGTGTGAACAAATTATTGAAATGTGTTCAAAGTGTCCGAATGATTATACCCCCATAAGGGGTTGAACCAATAGCGAACTTCCGGAGATTTCAAACTTCCAAAACTTGAAATACAATTCGAAACTTGACAAACTGTTAAAACCAACAATGCGTAGAACATTTTTGAAAGAATACAGACAAAACCGAAAGAAGTGAAACACAATGATTCGCAATAATCAAAGCTCACATATTTTATCAGAACACATTGAAGTATAATAACAATGTCTTTGTTATTAACATTATCATTTTCACCTTTTATTTCTTTATTACTTCTTTAACCCCTTGCCGCAGAATTTCCTTCGCGACCACGCCGTACTTACTATTAATAATTCCTCGGAAAAGCAAAGAAATGTTTTATTCATCGCAAGTGCTTTACTTCGAAGATAAAGACATTGAGAACAGCAAAATAATCTGTCACACCATTGTATACGATGAATACCATTGATTTTCATTAAATTGTTCTAAAAATCTTCACCGCGAGCCTCGTTGTGCGGCAAAGGGTTAATGACAACAGGGACCGTTCATTGTCGACGATCTGGCGCCCGCACGTGCATTCGGGAATCAGATAATTCGCTGACGCCATGTCTTTCTCTTTCTGCCGTTGCTGAATATGGAATATTCAGTAGCGTATAATACGGCCTAACGATAAACTTTCTATCGTCGAACGTTACACCACGTTACGACGACTACTTTAACACGTATTTCCCGTGTCCCACGAGCGATCGCGGATCCCGTACGTCGATCATGATTACGCTGGCGGAAACACCAACATCCATGTGTTTATCTCGCGTAATTATTAAGTCGCCGCGTCGTTTATGAATAAAGCAGCGCAACGGTGCAAATCCGACTGCAATTTGTTCGCGCCATTTACGACGCGAAAATCGCCGCACGTGAGCGAACGGGCTGCTTCTTTCGGAAGAATGCGTCGCTGCTTCGAAATTCATTTCACTTCTCAGATCCTGCGTTTCTTAGGGGTTGTTGCATCTCGATGAAAAAGGATTGTAGGGTCTCATTTTATTGACTCGAAATTCATTTCCTTCCTAAAACCCTGCTTTTCTAAGAGTCGTTGTATTTGGAGACAATGGAGAAAGGATTATATTTGAGAATGTTTGTTCATTTGTGAAGGTACTTGATTAGATATTCAATGTTATTGTTAGAAATTATGTGATTCTAATAGGAATTTTTGAGTGATTCATTGATTCAGTTGGAAACGATGAAAGAAGATTGCATTCAGGAATTCGTACATTTCGTTGCATCGAAATTCATTTGATTTCTGAAACCCTACGTTTCTAAGGAACTGTTGCATCTGGAAATGATAAAAACAAAATTGTATTTGAAGATGTTATTCATTTAAGAAGGTGTTTTATTGAATATTCAGTGTTATTGTCTGAGAGTGTGTAACTTCGAGTAAATTCCGAAAATTCAACACAGGAATCTGCGTTTTCATCATAAATTTATCAGGACGAAGGATCGCAGCCATGACGTGACATCTTCTGCGTAGGGTGCAATCTCTGTATTCACGCAATTCCTCACCTTTGAGTACAGATGAACATTTCAAACGTGACCTTAAATCGTTTGAATCTTGTCGGTGCTGTCCTTTCGCCACAAGATTACCTTCCTCGCAAATGCGTTCTGCCTTTACTGTATTTCCAAGTTTGAATTCGTAAAGCACGAAAACCTGAATTTCACCGATACAAATCAGAGATGTAAACTCTACGTATCAACTGAGCGAGCAGTGCGTTCCAATCGCCATTTTCTTAATAATGGCATTGCACAAGATCGGACTCAAATTTATCTCTGATTAGTTTGCAATCGCACGTATCTTTCTTTGTGCTCGCAATCTCATACGTCAGTGCGTTTTATTCGAAAGCAAAAAACGCCGTTGTAAACAGACACACGATGTTTGAGATCGGTTTCATTAAAATTTCATTGAATTTTAATGAAATTTCTTAGCACTTCGCCCAATACAAAAACTAATTTCTTTAGTTACAGTGAATCATTAAAGAATTCAACGAAAACTTATATCATTTTTCTTTTGCCTGGAAAAAAGTGGCTTTCAAACATTATTGTGTTTTTTTAGAACGAGAAAAGATTCTGTGAAGAATAAGGTGACCTATGAATAAATTTCTTCTATTTTCTTTAACGCGTTATATAAAAATATGTATACATTTGTGAATTCTACTGACTCATTCAGTTTTACAGTTCTTTCTCGAACCTCTGTAATTACGTTTTTCTTCGCGGCAAAAGCATATTTACATTTTCGAGCTCGCA